TAACACTAAATTTTGTTTTCAAGACACGTATTCATTTGTGTTTAGACAAGATTATTATTTGAATAGGAAATTTATTTAAAGCAATCCAAGTGCTAATATCCAGGTCTCAAAATAAATCAATATCTAAGACATGTATATTTCAATTCACATGTTATAATGAATTGAATTGCAAACAATTCTCGCAATACATTCACACAATTATATCTTACTTTACAATTGGATCGCAAATGCGAATGATATGTGTTTTGCATGAATGCATGCATTAATCAAATAAATACCCAAATGAATTGACACAGAATCCTATTATAATGTATATAAATCACAACTACTTTGATTGTGTGTTATATAATTAAATTTTTGGCAATTAATTTCCAGCACATGGGTGTCGGAGATAGTGACACAAAAATTAAATTAATTGCATTTTAATAGGTACTGTATATTAAGAATATGAATTCATTGGTTTTAGCTTTTTTGTAATTTTCTAGTCAATATTGAGATATTTGACAGAATTGTGCATGACTAAATATATTATTATTCTGCTTTACATTTGCAAATAATTATTAAATCCAGAATATCTTTTAAATTAATTCATAGAATATTCTTTATTACAATTTATAATGATGATTAATATAATAAGTAAACATGGTTTGATAAATATTTTACTTTTGCTAACTGATTAAGAATTTCCAGTTAAACATCAATAGAAATAATTTATTTGTTTGCAAACTCATAATAAAAATACAATGCAATGTATCATTTTTCAATTTTATGTTTTGATTATAGTTTTATTTCACAAAACAGAAACCATTGAAAACAATACAGAATCCGCAGAATTGACGCTAAAAATAAAAATAAGTTCCCATTTATTGCTGTATTAAAACTCTTACACAAAAAATCTCTGCATTTTATGGGTTTTTGTTTCCAATTTTCCCATTATATATGGCTTTCAGTATTGAAGATAAAAAAGTTGTGTATATTTTACTACAGATAATCAATGGCTGAGACATAATCATAATAACAGTCATAATGACTCTAAAAAATATAGTATTTTATATATAAATTGCTATCGATTGCAAATTGCAAACAAAAACAAAGTATTTTAAGATAAAAATGTTGCTATAATCTAGTATACTGTATTGTGCAAAAAGTTTATTTATTGCTAAAAATGTCCACAGAATATATTTGATAATTGTGCTTGTGTATGATTAGAATTAATATATTAGCTTAATATTAATTGCTATAATTAATATATTTTACAAACACAGTCAATTCTGTTAAATAATTTTAATTGCATTTCTGTTTACAAAATATATATCTATTTTAATTGCACATTATTTGCATTACAAGTTTAATAATTAAAATTCCTGATTACACATTTTAAATAATCTTGCACCAAT